AATTTTTTTTTCAAAAGTTAATTTTTATACAATATTTAGTATAACAATATGTTTTTATATAAAAACTCTTTCTTAAATATTAAACAATTACGAAGCTAAAAAATAACCAATTTGAAACAAGAAACGTTTTTACTTTTTCGAGGAGCAAAATAAAATTTCAATGGAAGCTCGTTGAGGAGGCCAGGACCCACTAAGGGTTGTAGAGCCATTAAGATAGATAGATAGATGAAATAAAATTTAGTATCACACAAATATAAAGGTTACTTTATAGAATGAATAAAATATAAAATACATTATGGAAATATTCCATTACTATAGATCCTCATATGATGAACTGGAAGGTGATGGCACACAACCGAGAAGACTGGCGTAGGTTAATTTTGGAGGCCATGACTCATTAGTATGTTGTAGCGCCTAGGAAGTTAGTAATACATCCTTATAAAAATGTAATTTGGCGATAAATTATCAAATAGTAGTTTAATGGAAATTATAATTAATAGATTGACTAATAATCAAATCTAGTTAACGTTAACATTAAAACAGAAAGATATCGTCAAGTTATTGGAAAATGTCATTAAGTGACATTTCATAACCTTAAATCACGAAGACCTTTAATGGAGGACGGGATGGCCGAGCACTTCGGAGTGTGTATTCTAGAGGGCCCGGATCTGTTCCGGTTAGATTCCCACCTGGATCTGTTAATTTTCATTTCTCGGCGGCCCACAGTGTAACGTCCAATGGACTAAAACCTGAATTTGTATTTTCTTATATTTAATTTTTAATCCTCTAGTTACGTTGAGAAACTATTCAAGGAATTAGAATCGTATAAAACCAATAAATATTATTTTTATTTTGATCAACGAACACATTAGTAGTATAAGGCAAAGTCTTCAAAACCTGTTTCATACCTATAACCAGTTTAAACATCTCTCGTTGAAGATAGAACAGTTTTTGTATTAAGTGATCCAAAAGAAATAATGTCAAAAATATTCCATTTTTATCTGATATAATTCATTACGGGTAAGTACTCTCTTATTATTCATCCTGTATTATTCTTCATTGATCTTTGAATTTTTTTTTAAGTTCACAATTTTGATGGACCATAACAAAAAAACTTCTCAAAACATCTTTCCAAGTTTTTTATAGCATAAAGTTTACCTCAAGTATAATGTCATCATCATCATATGTGGCACGACATCCCGTTACCGAGACTGGGCCTCCTCCAAGAGCCTCCGCCAGTTGGCTCTGTCTTCTGCTACAGCTCTCCAGTTCCGTGCACCAAGCAGAGTTCTTGCGTCATAGGCCACGTTGTCCAACCATCTCGTCCTCGGCCTTCCTACCCGTCTTGCGAGGTGCAGCTCCTCCATCATTATTTTCTTGGGTATCTCAACGGTGCTCATTCTGGCCACATGCCCTGCACACACTCAGCTTCATCTCATCGTTTTTAGTCATCGTCCAAGCCTCTGAGCCATATGTCAAAACAGGCCGAACAAGGGTCTTGTATATGATCAGCTTGGTCTTCTTTGAGAGGTACCTACTTCTTAAGTGTCGGCCAAGTCCAAAGACACATCTATTGGCAGCCTTGATCCTTCTCTGTATTTCTTGAGCCATGTCATTTTTGCTATTAATTTCAGACCCAAGGTATATAAAACTTTTCACTCTCTCAAACTTAAAAGAACCTACCTCAAATGGAGAGTTCAGATCCACCTCACCACCAACTCTCATATACTTAGTTTTCCTCTCGTTGACTTCTAGACCAAGTGGTCTTGCAGCTGCTTCAATGCCTATAAACGCTTCTCTGAGAGCCCGTTCAGACCTACCTATTATGTCAATATCATCAGCAAAACCATAATGTACAAAAGTATAATGTATTGTGGACAATTTAATTTGCCGATTCCAACGATTTTTATTTTTTATTTTCAGATCCATCACATAATACAAATTTGTTTTCTTCCAAATTTGTAATAATGTATATACATCCACGAAAATGGAACCAATCTTTGAGCAAATACTGAGTCAATTTGATCAGCACGATACTCCTAAAGAAATATTGAGCAGTATTAGAAAGACTGCCAGTTTACTCTCATTTAGTATGTCAAAAAAGTGGGAGCATGTTCACCGCACAGAAAAAACATTCTTAACGTTATATAAAGACTGGTTGGAACAAGATGTCTACTTAGAAGAAATTGTTATCAATCATTATCAAGAAAAAACAATTCACGTCCTGATGGTCCTTCCGGCTTACTTAGATTCAGACCTAAGAGAGAGAGTTTGCAGTGTTGAGTGAGAAATAAAAGCGAAAAAGCGCCGGGTTGATGATCTTATACAAAATGGAGTTCTGAGGAGCAATCTTTCGCTGCTAATTTATCATCAGGGCCCAACACCTCAAGAAATCAACCATCTTTATCTCCTATTCCAGCGTTAGCTTTATGCTTAGATTTAGGTTTTAGTTTTAGAAAATATAATATTTTGCGTTTAGCTGTAAACAGCATTTATCCAAATACTTTTCCTAGTAATTATAATTTTCCTAGTAATAATAATAATTCGAAATCAACGAATACCTGGCAATATAGATGTGTCCGATAATAATGCTGCAATAGATTTGCAAAAATTACTTAATCAAACGGTAGAATACATTATCGAGTCGTTTGGCAAAGGTTCGTATGATTCTCTAAAACTAATATGTAAATGGGGATCCGATGAAAGCTCTGGACATATGTATAAACAGAAATTCTGGACTGCTGAAAATTAAGATGAATATCTTTTTTTTCATTTCTCTAATCGAAATCAAATAAACATTTCGATATAAGTTTTGATTCTGAAAAACCCACAAATGATTCAGACTCTGAATAAAGAAATGAATTAGTAATTTCATAGAAAATGATTATTCTATGGCAATATTAATATCAGTATAATTTACTACTACATTATATGTTACAGTTATATTACATTTATATTATATTTTATAATATTGTTATTACTAATATTATTATCTTCTATATGATTTCTATAAATATTACAATTACTATTATTATTGCTGTATGGCATACATTATTATACTACTGTTACCTTGGTTTGAGTTGAAATCAATTAATAAAAATTTTCATTTGAAAATAACTAGCGGTTAACGATTTTTTTACATTATTGCCGCTACTTGGCTACACTGTGCGGCCCCGGGAAATCTTGACATTCCCACTCTGGTAAGTACGCGGCGGCAACTTCAAGGTAGCCGTCAGGCGTTAGTATAAAGGACCCTGTGGCCCATTTGCCGGATTAGTTCCCTCCACCAGTTCCAGTACCAATAAGAACTTTGGTGCACAGGCGGAACTATGGGGGAGGGAGAGGGGCGCTTTCGGCCTGAAGGCCCTCAAAATGGTAAAAATTAACTATGCTTTATGTAGAAAAAAAGACTAAAATATTATCTATTAAAGTATTATTGTTCGTTTAATTACATTCAATAGGACTTCAAGAATCATTTAAACACCGTTTCATATAGGTATTTAGTATCTTTCGTTTTTTGTTCCCAAAGTAATTATCGTTACATATATGAAAAAAAAAAGTTTTAATGCTAAGCCTCCCTCAAATCAGCTAGTGCTTTGGTGAATTTTCCCTTAATGAAATCAGAAAATTAAGGGCTTGTGATTATATTTTTAAAGGTTTGTGTCATTTTAGTGCTTTAAATATGATTTTTATATCTATAAATGAGGTCGAAAATCATTATAAGGTTCTTCAAAGTCCAGCTACATACATCGAAAATGTACTTCCTGATTTTTGCGATAAATCGACGATAATTTTAATGCACAGTCCTTCTTTTTAATACTTATTTATTCAATCATAGTGAAATTGTGAATTTTATAAAATCACGGCGGATCGAATGGTTTCGGCACGTTCTTAAAATGCCAGATGAGAGGATCCCAAAAAAGATGCTCAAAGGACGAATTTATGGTGTCAGGGGAAGGGGAAGGCCGAGAAGAAGGTGGTTGGAGAATGTGGAGGACGACCTCAGGCGGTTAAGAGTTACAAACTGGAGGAAAGGCTAAGGACAGGGACACCTGGGGAGCTGTCGTTCAGGAAGCCTAGGCCCACCCCGGGCTGTAGAGCTATCGAAGAAGATTTTTTTAATACCATAGCTTAGGAAATTAGAATAATATCAAATTCACCATTATTCATGTTCAGAAAAATGAAGGAATAAGTCTAACTACTTTGGAGAAAGCAAGATCACAACTGACATTATGTTGACTCAATACTCAATTATGACAGGTATGAATGGAGCCTTCGATATATTTCCTTTAGATGTATTGACTCAATAATATTCACAATGTAAGAGGCCATTTAAGTTCGCTATATGTCATGATGTACTCTTTGGGGTCACTATGTATACAAATACCTAATTCTATACAGCGATTTCAGTTTTTAATCAAGATTGAATATGGAATAAAAGAGTGAAGCCTATTTTTTTTTAAATTGCTTCAATGAGGATAAAATATAATAGGATTGACAAATTTTCTTCTTATTTAGAATTTTTATTTAACGTACATAGTGTAGTTTCTCACAATTCACAATACATTCTCTATTCTATTTTTTTTTTTTTTTTTTTTTGTAAATGAGGTTTTAATAGTGATGAAGTATTTCGGGTAGTAATCAGGCAAATATCTCTTTGTTTTGATGGACTCGTTCCGCGTGTAGAGTTGTCAGCTGATGTTTGGGTGCTGTATTGAAATTGAATATTGTACTTTTAAACAGTGACCCATGTTTAGAATAATATTTTTGTGATTAAGAAGATATTTTATTTAAAAATACGTTTTATTATTAATAATTCTGCCTGTTTTTATAACATAATTAGTTTAGTTGGACTGTTGCACTGCAATGTTTGTCTTTAAAAGTTGAAGTAGTTGAAGTACCATGTCAATCCTAAAGTGAATTTTGAAAATATTGTTGTTATAAATTGGGTTACTATTCCATCTATTTTATTTGCTTAACCCATAATCAATCTATTAAACATGTCAGAGAGTAAGGCTCATACAGAAGCTGAAATGAAGGGATGGCTTAGTAAATGGACAAATTATTTGAGAGGATATCAAAGACGTTGGTTTGTTTTATCTGATGGGCTTCTCTCTTATTATAGGTTTGTAATTTTTTATTTCTAAGATTAAAAATATTAGATTAATGTAATATTTTTGAAAATACATGTCTAGAACAAAAGTTTAATAGTACAAACAGAAATGGATCCATATTTCCACTACATCATGTAGTATGATATACTTTTATTTTAGCTTCTTGGATATATATTTTGATATGCTTTGAGTAATTATGGATTCATTACTTCTCATCCAAGAAACTCGTTGATGAATAAATTATAATTATTTTTTTATATTATTACCTATTTGTGTTGAATATGATGTTTTGTGACATAAAAGATATTATGTTTTGTTATGATTGATTAACTTACCAATACTATCAAAAATTACCTTGGTTGATTTTTATTTTTTCTTATGTTTTGTCTTTACCTAAATAAAGCAGATTGATATGGTTCAGGACATGTCTGAAGATTAGTTAATATTTGTTTTTCTGAAATATGAAAATTGAGATTATTCATTAGTTTATCATCGAACCTTACTTATCTTCAATTTATAACCAGTTATAAGTTATACAATATATATTCTATTAAAATAAAAATTATGGAACCTGTTTATTAAATTTAATTTACTAATTACGGTTTACCTAAAGTTAATATTTTGAAAATCATGTTAGTGTCCTAGAATATAACACACATCAGTTCTACTAATAAATTTATGACTATATCTTTAAAATTGGCTAATCTCAGTGATAATTGAATTAGTAATAATTGAAAATTGAATCAGTGAGCAAAGAAGATCGATCTGTTAAGTAAATTAACTTTGTTTATTTTTTTTTTTATCATTTTGATTGTATAATGTACCAATCCACAATGGTTGTAAAGAAAAAAATCTAGATTTTACAATGTATTATTAACAGTTATAATTGAGAACACAAGTACTTAAATATCCCAAAGTACTATATATTTTTGCTATCATTTAATAAGCATTATTATTAATACTTTGGCTAAAAATTATTAAATTACATAATGTTCCTCTGGATTTCCAAATAAAAATTCCATCATTAATATTTAATTTTTACTTTTACTTACCTATGCTACTACCCCGTGGCAATACAGACTGGTGCTGTCCCTGTCCTCAGTGAGTCTTCACCAGGTGAATCTATCCTGGGCAGCCTCTCGCCAGTTGCGTGTACCCAGCAGCTCCCTGGTGTCCCTTGCTACTCCATCCTCCCATCTCAATTGAGGCCTACCTTTTCCTCTGGTCCTATACAGTCTCCCATCCAACAACTTTCATGGGATTTCTTCTAATGGAATACGTGCAATATGACCAGCATAACGTAGTCAGCCCAACCTTATGTACGTCATTAAATCCGTTCTTCTGTAGAGCCCATAAACCTCTGCATTTGTTCTCCTTCTCCAATGGTTAATGGTTCTCCTTCTTCACAACTCCAATCATATGGCAAAGGATTTTCATTTCAAAAAGAAGAATGACCTTTTCCTTTGAAGAGTCCAGGACTCCGAGCCATGAGTTAGGACAGGCCTGATAAGTGTCCTGTATAATTGACACTTGGTTGAAGGGGACAATGAGGTGCTCTTAAAATGTCTGTTCAGGCCAAAATAGCATCTGTTGGCATTAACGAGCCTCTAAGAAGTTTTCACAGAAATTCTGTGATGTCATCATTGATCCAAGATACTTAAACTCCTCCACATGACAGAAGGCAAATGGACCCATCTCAACTGGTTCTTGTCCAGCTATGTCTGCTCCAGTTCCTGGTCGCAAATATTTGTATTTTTCTTGATGAACAATCATTACCATCCTTTTCATGACAGGCCTTTTAATACTGTCATAAGCATTTCAAAAATCTGCATACAGGTGGTGGGTAATCTAGGATCATCCTGATATTGAATATCTGATCAATCGTAGATCTACACCTTCTAAAACCAGTCTGCTACCTGCCAATTTCTCTCTTAGCAAATGGGAGGAGTTTCATGTATATAATCCTGAATAGAACTTTATATTGAAGAAGTATAATTCCTCAGTAACTGGAACAATCCAGAATATCACCTTTTTTGTACAGTGGGTTTATATTGCACTTTTCCACTGATTCGCCATTCTTTCTTCAATCCAAATGGTGAGAATTATGTTGTAGAGGGCTTTTTGAAACTCTTCACAACCTTGCTTCAGAACTTCAGTTCAGATCCCATCCTCCCCTGGAGCTTTATTGTTCAGGCCTTTTACAGCCTCAATAAAGTCATCATATGCCGGTGGATCGGGGGTCCTTATCATTCTCACTACTTGGGATCACAAAGTGGTCTGGATTTCCTGCATCATCGTTCAAGAGCATATCAAAATGACTCGACCAGCGGTGAGTATTAGGTGTACTTCTTCATTGTATGAGGTGTACTCCTTTTCCAGGAGTTGCCTAATTACAAAGATGTATTAACTGCAGTACCTCCCTGTTCTAAATCCAGCTTGTTCCTCTGTGATTATATGGCCATATTCTTCTTCCAGTCTCCGTCTAATGATCTTGCCATATAACCTACTCATGCTACTGGTCACTATTATTTCACGATAGTTCAAACAAACGCTACCTTTCTTAAACATAGGGGTAATGTGGCCAACTTTCCACTTTTCGGGTGCTTCCCCTTTGGTTATGCAGTGAGTTATGTACTTAGAAAGGGATTGTATAAGTTCTTTCGGTCCATTTTTTATTAATTATATTGAGACATAACCTGGACCTGTGGATTTATGGTTTTTTATTCCTTTCAGAACGAGAGCGATTTCTTCAACCAATATGGGTAGAAAGCCTTTCTCTTCCCAGTTTTCTGTTATCCTACTTTTTGGTTGAGTAATGTAGGCCAGTCTCTCTTCCTTGAGTAGACTTGAAAAATACTGAACCCAGATATCTGGAGATATAATATCAGGTCCATTTCTCTTCGTTTTGTGTTGTTTTATTGCCTTTAAACTCTTCCACGCCAGACTTTTTTTGACCCATCATGCATCTATCGATTAGTTCACAGTTTCTTTCCCCAAACTTACTGATTGTCCATTTCCTCATCTTTTTAATTTCTCTGTTTCCATTTTTATATTCTTTAAGAGTTTGCTAGTTATTGTTTGAGAGCCATTTCGCATAGCATTCTTTTTTCTTTTTCACATTCCATATCCCACCAATTTTTGTTATTCCTTCTTTCTTCTCCTTTTCTGCCAAGAGCTTTTGAAGCTGCTTCATGGATACACCTTTTAAAACTTTCATATTTATTTTTCTCTTCCTCAATCAGTTTTTGTCTCAGTCTATTTTGGTAAAGATTTTGGACTGACTCTTGTAATAGACTATCTAGTTTATTATATTAACACTTTTATATTATATGAAATATATATATTTTTTTAGGTGGATGTAAAAATGATAAAACAACAAAATAAAGTTTTTACTATTACATTTTAATTTTTGTATATTTTTTCATTTATTTATTACATTATATATATATAATGTAATAAATAAATGAAAAAATATACAGTAATACATATAAAATATACAGAAAAATATATAAAATTAACTTATTAACATTTATTTTATGTATAAAACATTTAAATCATGGATATGTCACAAATAACAGAGAAAGGACATATCTTGGGTTCAGCATAAATTTGCAACTGATATATTTCAAATGGTCAGAATCAGGAACAACCGCACTGAGTCAACTATAGGAGACTATTGAATGTACCATCTAAGCCAAAAGTCAAATGGTGAAACCAGGACTTGCCCCTATCGCTTTAAGTGGTGGCACCGAAGGTGGGAAGGCATATATCCTGGTCGCACCAGTGACCCAACTCACTGATGGAAAGGCATATATCCTGTCCACACAGTGAACTAACTCCTAACAGGAAGTCATGTATCCCATCTTTAGGACTTATAGGCTTTTGGAATATGAATGTCGAAATAGGAAATATTCTGGGGAGGAACAAATATCTATAGGAAAGAAACCTATTAAAGAAGTTCAACAATTTCAAATATTTATGTGCTCATCTCGATGAAAATGGCTGTATCAATGATAAAGTAACCTAGGGAATTGGATAGCTCAGTTTTATGTTTGTTCTCAAGGGATTTCCTCAATAAAGTGACTAAAACATTAAATTTGTCATCTTCAATTTGACGTTCTTCTTATGCTCTTGTTTTCTTCTGAATTGTGTACTCTCACCTCGAAACTCAGGATTTGGATCCAACCCCTGGAAATGAGCTGCATTTCATGAAGGAAAGGCCTGACAAGATAGGATCCAAAACGTCATGCTATGGATCAACCTCAAAGTAAAAGTGGTCAAGAATATCTTAGATAGGCAAAAACTAAAGTTTTTCTAACTTTTCTGAACGATGATAGTTAAAACCTTCAAGATCAGTGTTAAGAAATGAAACCTAAAGGAATTCCCCTCCATCGTTTGGGAAAATGTTATTCAATAGGCTTCTGAGAAGTAGAAATGGATTGGTCTATAAAAAGCTTAAGTTTTAATGTTACTCTAGGTCTCCCATATTGTTGTCTATCTATCTATACTGGCTCTACAACCCGCTTAGCGAGTCATGGCCTCCGTCAACAGCATCCGCCAGGTGTCCCTGCTTTGTCCTGGCATCTTTGTTCATGCTGTCCCTCCATCTTAACTTTAGTCTTCCTACTCATCGCGCTCCATGCAGGATTTCAACCAGCACCTTCTTTGGGATCATGTCATCTCTCATGCTGGCCACATGACCTGCCCATCAGACGGCCTGCTCTTATAAAGTTGACAATTTTGGCCTCATTAAAACGCTGGTAGATTTCCTGATTTTTCCTCCTTCTCCACTTCTCATTCACACACACTTGACCATAAATTCTTCTTATAATTTTTCGTTCAAATATTAGGAGGTCCTGCTCGGCTGCCTTGGTTATCGTCCAGATCTCTGATGCATAACTTAAAACTGGTTTGATAAGAGTCTTGTAGAGGATTACTTTGCTATGCTCAGTCACCAGGGAGCTTTCATGTGTTGACCCATACCATAATAGCAACGGTTGACCAGCAAAATCCTTTTATTTATCTCTGTATCCATCCATTTATCAACAGTGATCTGTGAGCCCAGGTATGTGAATCCTGATACCTATTCAGACCTGAAGGGTCCAGAACTCACCCTAGTGCCATGTTCTGGGGTCTTCTTCTGGGTTACCAAGTATTTAGTTTTTTCCTCGTTGACAGTCAGGCCGAGTTTCCTCTCTGCAGCCTCCAGGTCCAGAAATGATTGTGCTACTGCTTGCCGAGAACGCCCAATAATATCTATATCGTCGGCAAAAACGATGAATCGAACATTAGTATTGAAGATCATGCCAGATGTTTGGGATTCACGAACTGCTTTTTCTAGGGCCAAGAGAAACAGGAGGCATGCCAGTGCATCACCCTATCTTACACCCCTTCTCGTAGAAAATTCCTCCGATACGTTGCTCTTTATTTTAAAAACACACACCACCTTGTCCATTGTTAACTTGGTCAGCTTGATAAGATGTTGAACTGGCGTAATGCATTGTTCAGCTTTTAATGGTCGATCGTGTCGTAGGCTGATTTAAAATCGATGAAGAGATAGTGAGTTTTGAGCTTATATTCCTGTCCCCTTTCCAGGATAGTCCTCAGACAGAATATCTGGTCGATCTTTGACCTTCCTCGTCTGAACCCGTACTCGTAATTCCCAATCTCTTGCTCCGCAAACGGCAATAGTCTGTGGAACAGGTTGTTTGATAAAATTTTGTGTGCGCATTGGAGCACAGCAATACCGTGACAGAGCATTTCAATAGGTTTCCCTTCTTGTGGATCGGGCATATGACTGTCTTCTTCCAGTCTGTAGGCATTATTTCCTCAGTCCATTACCTCCATGCTTAAATAGTTCTGCAGGAACTCCATCAATTCCTGGCGCCTTATTATTTTATAGTTTGTTGAGGGCCTCACTGACTTCGTCTTCATTAGGTGGTTCCAGGTCATCCGTTCCATCCTGACCGAAGGGCAGCTCCGTTCCTTTGCTATCTATGCTTTGACCATTCAAAAGCTCCTTGAAATATTTTCTCCATTCTACTAGGCAGGCTTGTTCCTCGGATAGGAGAGCTCCCTGGTCATCCGTACACATTGATTTGTTTTGTATTTGGTCTCCTAGTGCTATTAACCCAATGATAGAACTTCCTGCTGTCTCCAATGGTCCTTGATTCCTCCAGGTCCTTCAACTCCTGGATAATTCCTTCTCTCTTCTTTCCCCGATGCAGCCTCTTTTCTTCTCTCCTTTTCTTCCTAGTCTTCGACTGTACCGCGTGTGCACCTGTTGATCATTAGCTGGTATGCTGCATTTTTAACTTCTGTAGCTATTCTACAGTCTTCATCATACTAGGTCAATCTGGTTGACTGTGAGCCCATCAGATGATGTCCAGGTATCTTTGTGGATGTTTTTGTGTGGGAACGTTGTGCTTACAATTTTAAGGCTTCGGGAAGCAGCGAAGTTGACTGGTTGCCAGCCGTTGTTATTGCTCTCTTCATGCAAAATGTATTTACCGATGGTTTGGACATAGATATTCTCCCGACCGACTTTAGCATTAAAGTCTCCGTTAATGATTTTCATATTGTGGCAAGATAGGGAGTCCAGCGTATTGTCGAGCAAATCATAGAAATCATCCTTGTCTTTATCATTAGTTTCTTTAGTTGGGGCATGTACACTAAGCTTTGAGAAGTTATAAAATCTCCCACGAACCCTTAGCACAGATATCCTTGGAGTTACTGGCTTAAATTCGATAACTAATGATTTCCTTATGATGAATTCCGTCCCAAAGGTGTGCACCCAATCGTTGCAACTGTAGAATACCATGTGATTTCTTTTCTCTAGCATGCCATGTGCTATCCACCGGATCTCTTACTACAGCTGATGACTAGTAATGTTATAAGAAATCTTAGCACTTGCAGAGAGTTAATTATTGTATGATGTTGAATAGCATTGTTTTTCTTTGATGTAATTATATTTTCTAAATATTCAGACTATAACATTTCCTGAATCCAATTAATATTTTTATTTTTTGTATATTTTTTTAAGAAACAAAGCTGAGATGTCACATACTTGTCGTGGCACAATTTGTCTTGATGGAGCTACAATAGATATAGCTGATTCCTGTACTTTTGTTATTTCTAATGGCTCAACTCAGAGTTTCCATTTGAGGGCAGCAAATGAGGTTGAACGCCAAAGATGGGTGACAGCTCTTGAATTAGCAAAATCAAAATGCTACAAAAATGTAGAATCAGGTAAAGTTTCATTAAATTTTAATTAATGTTTTGTTTTATTATGTTTACTTTACTTTTCTTTTTTATATTCTTTCCATGATATTTGTTTGCTTATCAATGACATAATGTGATATTGATAGTGATACTACAGAAGGAATAATAATAGGAAAAAAAATTTCATTTTACAATTGCATTGCAAATTCTTATTTAAGCATTTTTGAGATGAGAAAAATGAATATCTACTTTGTATATTCTTCAAAAATATTTAAGGGGATTAAGATGTGTATATTGTGTACAATATCTATAATACATGCTTTATTTTTATTTCTGAACCGAATTGGGATGATATACAAGGTTTTTTATCAAACTGAAGAAATTGTCTGTTTTATTAATAATGTAAACATTTAATTTTATATCAACTTCGAAGGTTGCAATAAATACAATAAATTGTTTGAGTAAATAGGTAATTTTTTATCTAGTTCTATTTTGATAAATTTTTATAACAAATTTAAAATTTATTTTCATCAAGATTATTAATTTTTACACACAGAAATTATTAATAATACTTGGTATATTCCACTGTTACTATTGAAATGATGCTTGATGATTCTAAACTTTATTTCTCCATCAGATTAGTCTGAATTTTTTTCTTTTATTATTTTAGATGAAGAAGATGATGCGTATGAATCTGGTCAAAAATGTGAAGTTTCCTTAATAATGAAGGAAATAACAGCATGTTTAGAACAGATGGAAACCTGTAGCCAACTCATTTCTAAGCGGGATTCAGCTCTCCAGAGAGCTCTTTCAGAGTTAGACCTTATTGATCCGGGCCAAGCTCTGTCAGGAAAAATGAAAGCAATTAATGAGAAGGCAACCCTTCTCCGTATTACTTCTAATGCTATGATGAATGTAAGTGAAGCTGTCATTATAATTATTTATCTAAGAGCTATTTTAGTTTGGAAAAAAAAACTATACTTTAAAGTGCAAATATATGTATACATAAACTCAACACACTCTCAAAACAGAAAATAACAGTAATTTGAAATAAATAAAATAGTAAAAAAATGATGTGTTGGTTCTGGGAATCATTACAATTTACTTGCTACCAAACTAAATGAAATGTAAAATGCCGTGTATTTTTTTGTTTTTTGAGTTCTTCGAAGTAGCTGAAATTTTTTGTTGATTTATAATTTATAATATGTTTAAAACTTTCACCATTTTTCAACTTTTTTTGAGGGAGGGAGGGGAAGTTTAAATATTTAATAATTTTATTTTCTTGATGTTTTAGAAACAATGTTTATCCCTTATTAATTCTCAAGAGATATGTTACTTGGTACAAGAACTGGCCGTACACAAGCAGATTTTTTTAGAAGGATTTCAAATTTATCATGAGCTAACTAAAGCATTACGGCTTTACCCATTACATTTTTAGACAGAGCTTTTTCATTGGTTTGATCTGTGGGTTTTCTTGCAGATTAGATAAGCAGATTTCTAGATTATTTGTTGTTGTTTAGGTCTTAGAGGCGTAAAACCACGAGGTCATCAACGCCTATCCCATCTTTACTTCAGTTATCTCAATGCTAAATTATTTTTGGAAAAAAAAAAATCAATAAATAAAAAACAACTAAAATTTAAATTTTGTTTATTAAATCATTAACTTTAAGAAAATTTAACCCCAACCTAACTTTAACTTCATAATTATTTAAAATATCTGATAGTTTTGGCTTGAGTTCTAATTTGGTTAAAATTTATACGTAATAGGGACATTCCTGAAAAATGTGACTGACTTTGAGTGTACTGTTGTAGTGTTGGAATTTTGGTGTTGACTGTTTACTTATAAGATAAGAATGTGTTAGGTTTGTATGATCTACCCTTATTCTAGTTAAGGCAACTTACTCTCTACGAATAGGGCGGTTCGAGGTGGACCATGATTTCACTGATTTTTTTGTTGCCTTCAATTTACTCGGAGGGCTCTCTTTCCATATGGATTGCCAGCTAAGAGCTATTTCCTTTTTTAGGAGAAAATTTGTGTCACTTGGTGTTAAAATAACAGCACTCTGGCCTGGAAGGGTGAGTGCTTCTATAGCCGCCGCAACCACGAGCTCATTTCTAGCAATCCCCATGTGACCTGGCAACACCCAGATAAAATATATCGATTTTTCCAAATTTTCGACCACATTTAAATACCCATTTATTTTTAAAATAGTTGGATGTCTTGGACATACATTTTTAATGTATATATGGATATAAACTTTTAAAAACTCAAAGAATCTCTTATTATTACTATTGTTTTGGGTGTTATCGACATGGAGAAATGGAGAGCTGATGCTATTGTGTGAAGTTCAACTGTATATATACTGCATAATTTATGTAGTTTTATTTTGTGGGTGGAATTGTGGGTTATAAATGAAGATGCTGTGGATTCTTCGGATTTTGATATGTCGGTATTGTAACATCTCTCTTATTTTACAAATAATAATACCTTGGAAGATCACTTTATACTGTTTGGATACTTCCAAAAAAAAATAAGAAGTTGTTAAATAATAAATACAATTATAAGAGTATTAATATATTAAATTGAAATTTGTAATTATTTTATCTCAGGTATGGATTACTGACAATCAGATCTAAACACTCAGACAAACTATTATTATTTACACTAGAATTAAACACTGATTTTAAAATAAAGTCAAATATGGATTGGCAAGCTAACCTTTTTTCTATAAATACTGTTTCTTCCTTTGTTGCACTAAATTCAATTGTCTTCAAATACTTTCCAATCTTCTGCCAAAACACAACTTCCAAAATGGTAACACTTTCATCTACTCAACTCAAACTCTCTGGGAGATCCTCTCTCTTGTGATTCCTACCAACTAGTATCCCTGCCAAACAACAACTTCCAAGATGGTAACGCTATTACTGGGTTTTACTTACTGGAGCCAGGATCCCTTCTCCCATCCTCTCTTCACCCCAGCCATATACCAACTGCCTACCAAAACAAAATCCTTTGTGTCCCCTTTCCTCTTTGGGATTTCCCTTTCTGGGTTAACTACAGAGCAGCCAATTTCTTTTCCCTGAACTAGTGAAATTATTTTTGAAATTTAAACATCCTTGAAATTAGCAGAACTAGATTAGCTTGTCTTTTAACAGTTTATTATTAATTTACTAAACCATGTTTAAAAACTTCCAATAATGGTGTATATTACAGTATAGATTAAAAATGGTTCGGGAATTTTGTGAAGAAGACGAGAGATTTTATTTTTGTATTCTGAAGGTGAGGTTTCATTTTTCGGTAATCATGAAAAAGTTAGTATGGTTTTTGGTGGTTTGTTTATTCATGGAGGACCGTAATTTTTTGTTTTTTCCAAAGGTAATTCTTTGAGGAATGTAGTAGCTGAGTTAATTCTTTTGACAAAGGGAGGGGTTGAATTTGTTTTCTTTTCAAAAAATTTCGGCTTGAAATATATATATATGTATATATGTTGTTCGGTTTGAGGGTATAGTCTAGAAATATAATTAATGGTCAGTTTTTTGTCTAAATAAAAGAGGGGTTTCTCCTGCTTCTGAACACTAACTGAGCATCGGGCTGGTTCGAAACGTGCCAGTCGCAATCCTAATACCAGCATGATGTATTGCATCAAGTTAATTAATGATCCGGAAATGTGCAGAACTGTAAATAAAACAACCATAGTCCAGCTTTGAGCATATGAATGAGCGATACAGTTTTAGTAGGGTGGTCCTATCAGAACCCCAGGAGGTACCACCTAGATATCTTAATATAGTTACGTTTTTTGTTTGCAGCCGTTTTTAAGTTTGTAATTTGAGTTGCAGTCTTCCATGCCACTCTTCGGTCAAATACCATACCCATTTATTACCATAGCCAAGAATCTGTGACTGTTTGTATAAGGGATCAGGGAGTTTCCTAAGTAAATGTCAGGAGAGGGAAAAGTATTTCGCTTTCTACTAAAATAGAGGCATTTTGTTTTTTCAGTGGAGAATTCGAGACCAGTGGAAAGGGACCAGTTTTTTATTATATTTACGGCTTCCTGGAATTTTGTGCTGAACAGTGGAAATGTTGTTAGAACGGCATACGATAGGCAGATCATCTGCGAACATTAGAGGTTTGACACCTCTAGGCAAGTAAAGTTCCAAGTCATTTATTGCTATGAAGAACAAATGTTGGACTGAGGGCACAACCTTGTGGGACACTACTCATCTGTTTATGCTCCTTAGATGTTTCACAGCCAATTTTTACTCGAAAATGGCGATCTGAAAGAAATTGTTTAATGTAATTGAACATGTTCCCTATTATTCCAATTTATGATATCCTTTTTAAGATTACATCATGTTGTATGCTGTCAAAGGCTTTTTTCATATCAAAGAAAACAGCAATCGCATGTTGTCCGTTGATGAAAGCATATTGGGTTTCTGCCTCCCACATTGAAAAAAGAATGTTATACGTTAAGGCATCTTCATTTATTGTTACTGTAAATTCGGTTTTATCAGAGTAGGTATTATTTGTTTCGGAGTTGTTGATTCTATCAAAAAAGTCTGCGAATGTATTTGAAATTAATAAATGATTATCCGATAATCGTCCGTTGACTGTAATAGTGTAGCGGGAGGATGGAGGATTTCCGGTGAGTTTGTGGACTTTGTTCCAAACTTCAGTTAGCGTGGTAGAGGTATTTATGGAATTTATAATTTTTTTCCAAGACTCAGTTTTACACTGGTTGAAAAGTTGTCTGCATATAGTCCGGGTTCTACCAAAGATTTAACCACGTGATCAGCGGCAGAAGGTTTGAAAATTGAAAACAGTAGAGATGACAACCCAATGCCAAAAACCCTCTAGTCAGACGGCTAACCGAAAGCATTTGGCTGTGCTAGAATTTCAAAAATCGCAAAAACTCCCAAAAATTACTTGATCAGCAGCAGAAAAAAATCTATTGGAATAGTTTCAGACCACTTTGTAGGTAACAGATTTAATAAAGTGGTTTCATGTTATATTCTTTTGTTCACATTTACTGAATGTATTTTTATTTGTAATACAGTTGTAAATATCATCAATAAAAAAAATAAAATAAAGTCAGACCAAATTTTGAAAGTTGTTCTTGGAAGTCCCAGATATTGAGTGATAAGCAGCAGGAAAAACGGCTAGAATACTTTCAGATCACAGTAATTTTATTATTGTTATTTTATAAAATCTGAATACATTTTTTGGAAGCTTTTCATGAATTTGAAAAGCTAATAGTTTCAGACTACTTTGTAGGAATCTGATTTAATAAAATCTGACCAATATTTAGAATTTTTTCGAGATTGTAGCACTTATTACCTGTGGGCGAAATGACAAAAAATTGGAATCTGTTGGTCCAACAGTTTTCCCTGCTACCTATTTCAATCTATCTATTAGGTTTATCAAAAAATTGGTCAATCTGATCAAAAAAAGTGCAAACAATCCAAAATTGTGTAAATGACACACAAAAACGATGCTATTATTTTACCATCCTATGTATTAAGACAATGTATTTTGTTAAAATTTAAATACTATTTATCTATTCATATATATGATATAGTTATCTATATCGATTGATAAAAAGCATATAAAGAAATGAGTGTATACGCATGCAATCATGCCTGTAATTTACTATTACATTATATACTCTATGGTGTCTAAAATATTCAATAAAAAAAACAACAAAGATGATGTTTATATTAACAAAAATAACACTTAACATTTCTATCACATTTCCAATTTATTATAAATTCTTTTATAAAAATTGCTAGAAGTAAGGTGAAAATATCTCGGTTGTACTTGTCATCTGGAGAATCAGTCTTTTTCTTGTTTTAATGTTATATTCAGTTTCATCCTCAGTTTTTATGTCGTCGAAGTTTTTGATTTCCTCTGTCTATAG